CACTACTCTCCTCTTGCCAAACATCATCCATGTATGTTGTAATTTGGGGAACGTTCCTTTCTTTCTGGAAAAGCGCTACCAACTTCCTCCAAGAACTTGTCTTTTATATTAATTCGTTTAAAGCCAAAAGCGTCCACTACCCAGATTTAGAAAAATCTGGAGAACCTACTTTTAAAACATCACACTCGGTAAGTTAGGAGTTATGAGTGAATAAAGAGACACCACCGATAGGTGCTAAAATATCCAATAAAATCAGAATAAAAAGTGTGGCGTTAACATCAAGTCGGGAGGAGCGGGGAGCGCCCCCCGGGATGCCGCACCTCCAGTCACCTGTTCCAAGGGGGGCCGCCGGAGCCTGACGCGCACAGTGGCTGCACCAAGCACGTCTCTCAGTGCCTCCAGGGCCTGTCGCTACTGCCTGACCTCTCGCTCCAGGGCAGAAGGCCACAACCAGCCAGCGGCTTCCCCGTGGCCCCACCACGGCCACGAACACGCACCTCTCGCGAGACCACCTCCGTCCTCACGGTAACCGCACGGAAGCCCGGCCGCAGTGCCACCTGCTGTCGGTGCCGGCTTCCTGACCGTGAGCGTCCCCTCGTCTTTGAGCACACCGTGGTCTCGTCCCACGCTGCTGGGAAAGGACTTCCCGTTTTGCTATGACGGCATTGCAGATGGAAAACTTGTACTATGACCACCCTGGCGTTTTGGAAAATGGTACTATTTCAAACCCAATGTTCGTTTTTTTTTTTTTTAATTGTACAAAAATAGTGAATTACTTGTAAACCCACAGTCTTCTCAAGAATTTCAAAACGTTAATCGCCGGCTTTGGCATTTACTGTCATTTAAGCGAAAACCTCATGAATTTTACACTTTATTTGATAGTTACTCTTGACTTTTTTCCGTGTCTTCAACAATTCCAAGGAATATGTTTTAATTGTTTTCCAATAAACAGAGGAATTGCTATGTGGGTCGAAAGCCAAGTTATAAAAAAGGAAGAGGAGGATGGGAAGGAGAAACGGAGAAACAGAAATCTGGGAGAGACTAAAGAAGACTGTTCTAGAATTAACATACCCGGAAGCAGGAGCAGATTGGGAAGGACAGCTCAGATGACGCTGCATCTCTCCCTCTGGCTCTGACTCCCACTTCGAGGTGGATGGGGTGTCCCTTTTTATGAAAGTTCACACACTGTCTTCATTTTCTTCTTTCTCCTTAAAATACCATGCCCCCAATTATGCCATCCTTAAAACCTCCCAAGGGCATTAAGCTAAATGAGCCTCTCAATGGCAGAGTTGGCCGAAGAAATTTTTCTGGGCTCTGAAACCACGCCCAGTGGTTAAGCGGGCACACACTCTTGTCCCCTGTGTCCACTCGGCGTCAGGGCACTGACTTGGCATTTCTGAAGGGCTTAGCATGATGCCAATATCTTTAAGAAGGCTGTACATCTGGCCGTGTCTCCTGGCAGTGAGAAGAGCAGAGAGAATCTTAGCCGGGTGAGGACAATTAAGGAGGCTGTTGGCTCGGCGCTTAACGCACACCGATGAGCCCCCCTGCCCGGGAGGAAGCAGTGCCTTCTCCGCTCTCACTTCCAGACCAGCGTTCGCACCGTCAGGGTCTTTGCTGACCCTGCTTCTTCCTCCCACACGTTCAATTTCTCAGCTCCAACTGGCTAAAAATGTGACCACAGTGAACAAGGCAACAGAGTAAGAATAGTTTGATTTCCACTATACGTGTTTTGAGTAGATTCCAAAAGTTTGACTTCTTTATTGTGATTCCAGCTTCCTCCTCACCCCCAGCTCTGCAACGGTCAAGAGGATCCTTTCCGAGCCCATTTGGGCTGCACCACTTACCCTGGATCCTCAAGAATCTTCTAGAAATCCTACATTTTCTCTGGAGAATGTTGGTCCGAGATTAAGGCTCAGGTTCCATAGGTGACGTGTAATTCTCAGATCTGACCAGGGCTGGCAGGCTGACCCCTCACCCTTCCCTCCAGAGGAGGGTCTGCTCCCCAAGGCAGGAAGGGGGCCTTTTGACCCAGGGGACCGCCACGCAGAGGGTGTGCCTTCCGGAATGAGATTTCTCAAGACCTGAGCAGGGAGCCCTGGGCATTGGACTGTGACAGGGGACCCACTTACGAAAGCACAGAGCTTCTTGGGGGTCCCGCCCCGCTCCTGGGTCACCTGACAGTAGCTGCCGGACACGCCAACACCCCCACTCACCTCCAAGGGACCCAGTCACACCCCCTCACCCTCCCCGACCTCCACCTCACATTAACCCCTCCTGGAATACTCCATCTGGGTGAGGGTGTCCTTAAAGCACCAGGGACAGGTTCAGATGTCCAGACACACAAGTGGCCGGCGAGCACGACGGGTGATAGAGCCCAAATCCCTCACCCGCCGTGGGTCCCTCTGCCCCCTGACTGCCTGAGAAGCTGGCTGACCCTCGAGAAGGGCCGACTACCAGCAAACCCCAGCACGAGGCCGGCAGTGGGCGGCTCGGGTTAAGCTAGTGAAGGAGACATGGCTCCTCCGGGCGGGAGAGCGTCGCTGCCGGTGACAGATGGCGGTGTCGGTAAAGAGTGCGGTTACAGAGGGTCCCACACGCGCGACGCCGCGATTAGCAGACCACTCTGCTCGCAAAGCCCCCTCCCAGCTGGAGAGTGAGAGAGTGGGGGCCCTTTCACCCAGCAAGGTCAGGGGTCCGTCCCCATTTGCAGGGGACGTGCAAACCCGGCCCCTAGGGCGTGGAGGGGGTTCCATCAACACTCACATCCTTCACCCAATGGCGGCGCCACGAAGCCCAGAAGCTCTGCTGCAGGCGGAACAGGGTCGGAAGACACAGACGAGGCGGCAGCTCCCTACACATCGGAGCAGTAACACAGGTTCCAGCCAGCGAGTGTCATTCTGACTCAGAAAGTGCATCCCCGTGGCGGGTGGCCCGTCCGTGCACGTGCACAGGGCGACCGCGCCTCTGTCCAGCCAGCGTCCTCAAGGCCTGCCCGTCCCATCCTGCCGGCCGAGGTGGCGAGAAGACGCCAGAGCCTGGGCCCTGCTGCCGGCCACTCGGCTGGAGGCCCGGGAAGGGCACACGCCGACGTGTAATTTGCGGGCCGAGGACCCACCCTGCAGCGAGCGATTTCCCCGACCCCGCTTAGCACTGTGCGTCCAACACGGTATGACCTACGGGGCAGACAGACCACGGCTTCACAGTGAGAAACGCCCAGTGCTCAAGGTCACACATTCCACCTAATTATAACCCTGCAAGACAAGGGCAGCATCCCCAGCTCGGTGTGACAGGGCCGCTCCCCTGTGCTGAATTTACCCCAACCCCCTACACACGACTTGTAAAGTGCACCTGCCTTAGACACACACCGGGCAGAGTTTGCTTACAGAAGGCCCCAAAAGGCCCTGAGCAGCACGTGTGGCATAATAAGAAAGAAATGTTTGGTCTTCGTCCTTCACTGCACCCCTGGCACCGACCTCCTAAAGCCCTTGGGATTGGCTGAGTGATCGGAACACCTTTTTTTATTCGCCGGGAGCCCCTCTGACCACCGCTGGGTCCACGCAGACGAGGTGACTCCTGGAGGGCAGGGCAGGTCATCAGAAAGATCAAGCAGGTGATTCGAAGGTCGGTCCTTCTGTTCCACCCCCAGCCGCCAGAGAGGGGCCGCAGATGGGAGTCCAGTCCCCCAGCCGGTGATGCCGGTGATGCAATCAGTCATGCCTTCGTCAGGAACCTTCCAGAAAGCCCCCGGAAGAGCGGGGTCCGGGGAGCTTCCTGCTCGTGGACACTCCTGCCCTGGCGGTGGCACTCTCCGGGGCACGGATGTTCCTGGACCCCCCTCCCCACACAGCTCAGCCACCGGGTCTCTTCCGTCTGCCGGTCGATGCTTCCTGATCGAACTGCAACCGTGAGTAAACCTTTTTCCTGGGCTCTGTGAGTCATGCTGACAAATTATCAGACCTGAGGGGAGGTCGTGGGAACCCCTGAATTTGCAATCAGCCAGACCAAAGTGCGGGTGGCCCGGGACCCCATTTGCATCCAGATCTGCTGCAAGGGTAGCACTGTGCCTGTGGGGCCTGGGCAACTCTGGGTTGGAGCCGGAACTGAATTGAATTGCAGGACGCTCCCTAAGTGTTGGGACCCCTGGAGAAGCGGGTGTGAACTCTGTGTTAGCAGAAGGAGGCTCTTCCCCAAGAGGCGTTTTCAGGGTGCACAGTGGCTGCGGCTGAAGACAGAGGGCGGGACGCCGCCAGGTGCTGGCCAACGCTGACCGCGGACCGTGCAGAGAAGGAAGGAATGGTCCAGTGGCCCAGTGGCTCCAGTTAAGAGCATTATTTACCACGACAAGCAGGTGATGGGGGCATCGGTGGTCACGTCAGACGGGGACCAGTGGCGGGTGGCTTTCCTACCCGGGAGGCACGTGAAGCCGACCCAGGGCGCTGCGTGTGCTGTCCGAATTAGTTGCTCCTTCCAGCTCTGTCCTACCTTCTAATCTTCAGGTTTTAAAACTAATTTTTATTATAATAACCTTTTTCTTCTGCTTCCAAATTACTCCATTATAAAAGGACATTTTAAAAAACCAAAGACAGTGACTCCCTCGTGGAGGCTAGTTTGAGCACAGCATACTCAAAGACCAGGAATCCTCACAGGGCAGCTGGAGAGAGCCAGACACATCTTTAATTAACAGCCATTCAGTTACTAGCTTCTTGGAGGGAAAACAGCTCTTTGAAGCGTAATGCGTGCTGCCTTTTCTTCAGACACCGTCTTTCACTGATATATACACAACAACTTATTATTTTAACACAGATTTGCAAATGCACGGGAGCAGGATAACTTATCACTTAAATGCTACTTTTCTTTCTGCAGCATTTGACAACAGTATGGTGCTGGTACCTGCCGTGAGCCACAAACTAATTTTTTAAAGCACGGCATTATCTAAGAACGTGCACGTTCTCTTTAGTGCCAACCAACCATCGCTCCCATGTCTTGAGGCATCTTACCAGGGGGATCCGGGCACCGGGGTAGAGGCCACGGGTCGGTTGCCCTTTGCCGCGCTGTCCTCTCTTGTGACTAGTATCGACGGAGGCTCCTTTTAACAGAAAGAGAAGGAGGGCACTTTTTTTTTTTAATTTAAACACTCGTCTTCAATTAGGCAACCAAGTGAAGGGCAACACGGTTCATGCAAACACCCGCTGGATAATGACCCGCTCAGTACAGCTAAGCCAATGGGACTGAGCAATTATGCTGAGAATACGGAATTTAAGGCACAACAGGCCGTGCTGAGGAATTCAGACCAAGGCATCTCCCTGATCACCCCAGATTGGCTAGACTATCTGCTTTTGCAGATACAGAGAAAGGCAGCCACCACCAAGAGATGGCCTGTGGATGCCTTAACATCTCACGGGCAAAACATCACACAGGATTCATCTCCAGAAATGGGCCGACCCAGAGGCTGGGGTCCAGTGCTTCCAAGACTGTGCGCTCTGGGAGGGAATCTAGAAGGTGCAAGGAGGCCTGGGTCCACCCAGACTTCCTCATCTGGGCCCCTGAGGACGGGGGGTGGGGGGCACGAGCCCACATCCTTGTAGCATCTGGTGATGTTCTCTCCTTCCCGAGCACCTAGCTGGGGGCAGAGATGGGGGGTGGTGCAAGGGATTCTGGGGCAGAGTTGGGTTTGAAAATCACTCTGTGTCTGTGGCTCTATTTAGAAAACAAAGAATGTTTGAACATTACACCACCTAGAAGAAAATGAAGATGTATTCTCTAATATTAAAAAGGAAAAAAAAAAAAAAAAACTTTAGCGGTGTGGTAAGGACATGTTTTTCCTCTCCCGGCTGTCTCTACAGTTTTAATCTCAAACTTAGAATAATAACACTGTGTTCTCCTTCTCTGAAAAAATCAGATGAGATTAAAAAACACCAGAATGTACTCAAAGCAACAACCAGGCTCTCAGAGGAGACTGTCATTTGCAATTAAAGCTCTGGATTCATTGAGTTGAATTGAATTGAATTGAATTGAATTGAATTGAAGAAGGCCATCCTAAAATTCTGGGATCTCTATTCCCACCACTGTTCGTGCCAGGACCTTATGGGATGAGACACTGTAGGTGAGGTGATCAGCGGCCCGTGTGGGTGACGGGGCCGGGAGGTCAGCGCTGCACATGGCAGAGCCGGCCAGCGGGGAGGGCGCGGGCACAGAAGTCCACGCGCTGATCCGGGGCCCTGAGGGCTGCACCCCCTGTACATCGCGTCAGCCTGCCTTCACACACAGGAGCTGGAAAGGCAAACAATAGATCCTGGGGGCACGGGAACACGAGATCCAGACAAAAAGCCGAGAGAATCCCAGTGTCTCCAAAGCCCGGGCCGCAGTAAGTCCCACGCACAGAAACGTGGCATGTGCGTGGCTGACCCTGTTGCCATCTGCCCACCCACGAGCTGGGGACAGAATGGCCCACGTGGTCGGGGGTGAATAGCTGGCCGAGCAGAGCCGGCCAAGAGGAAGGACACAAGTCGTGGGATGAAAATGTTCCCCCGGAAGAGTCCCTGCGTGGCCTCCGGGTGAGGGCAGAGGGCAAGGCACGTCTCCAACAGACCTAACGCCCAGGAGAGAAGGGGTCAGGACGCCTCTTTTGCACGTGTGCTTCCCTGCTGGGGACCCCCTGCGACCCTTTGCTCACCCACACAGAAAATTTCACCGAATTTACGTGAGGCTTAATTTATATAATTATCCTTAAGTTCTACAGTTTAAGAATAATTTCTTTTAGACTTTTTGGGGAGTAGAAGATGCCTTTCCTTCCTGTGAGGGGGAAAAAAAAAGATCAGGATAAATAATGAGTGTAACAGGAAGGACTCAGACAGTGGTGTTAAAAATATATATATATTGAGACCACAGTTTCCATTACTAATCCAATTAGAAAAACGAGGGGAGATTTTCATTATGGAGCTAATTGAACAGTAGAAACCCAATGAGAGCCTCTGAGTACTAGATTACCCCAGCTAATCACTCACGCAGATCTGGCGCGGCGTGATTTGTGACGGGGACTAACGTTCAAATCTGGCAATGCTGGGATTCTCTACTGCTAATTACCAGGGTCTCCTTCTTGTTGCACGTGCCAGTTATGATTTCCTGTTGGTGATAAAAATGGCTAATCATGGCATAAAACTCCCTTTCCATGCTAAAGTAATGAAACTGAATTAGAGGTGTGGAGCCCAGTGATGAAGTAGTTAAGGCACTAGAAAGGGTATTTGTTTAATAAACATGTAATACTGGCACAGATGCTGATCTCTTCCAGAGAAATCCTGCATCAGGGAGCAAAGGTGTCATCTGCACGAACGTTCGTGACCCACTTACACCATTTAGCGCCGGCCCTAAGGATGAGAAGAGGCACCCGTGTCCATGATGGTCCCCCTGACCGTCCCTAAGGGGGGAACCGGCAGGACAGCCCGTGGGTACAGGAGGGTTCGCGGGGCCGGCGGGAGCAGAGACGCACCCGTGGAGGTGAAGTCAGAACGTTCACAAGACCCTGGGGCGACCACAGGCCTCCGAGATACCTGACAGCTTGGAGCGAATGAAATTTGTGATTTTCAAAGACAGCGATAAAAGCTAATCCCTCGGGTCTTTCGTGGGAAGGTAAATGTGCCGAGCACATCCACGGTCAATCCTTAAAATGCCACTTGGCAGAGAGGCAGAGAGAAGGGCCTGAGACTGGAAAGTGTGGAGAAAAAACCGATGTGTGTGGGGCTTGACGCACACGAATTTTAAACATCCGGAAACAGGCTCTGGCTTTGCCCTGTGGTGTCCGTGGCCCTGCAGCCCCGTGGCGTCTGTGGCCCTCTCCCGAAAGCGGGCGCGGCACACCCGGGAAGCCCAGGTCACCACACGGAGCCCCGGCCTTGCGAGGCCTGGAGCCAGGACCCGAGGGGAAGGCCTGGCGGCTTTTACCAAAGCCCGGGGCACCCACCCCTCTCGTCCGCGATCTGGAATCCACGTTCTCGCTGGCTTTGACTCCGCTTCACAGAGCAGACCCCAAAGCGTCAGCGAACGACAGGAGGGGTGAGGGGTAGGACCCGAGGGGTGCTCTGGGCCCGGTGCCCCTGACCCCGGGGTTCCGGCTTGCAGAGCACAAGCAGAGTCCAGAGACCAACCTTGTCTTCTCCGTCCCCGGCCCGGCTCTTCCTGTCCGCGTGCAGCATCAGGCCGGGAGGACAGGGCGCTCGGCCGCGCTCTCTGCTTTTATCTGTTGGACCAAAACAATTGCATTAGCATCCCATCTGTCACACCAATTTGGAAAAACAGGGACAAAAAGTGGCCTCGGACGTTCAAACTGGCTGCACACGGTGGACCTCCCGCAGAAAGGCCGTGCTGGCACAGGCCCTGACGGGGCCTTGTGACCAAGCCCCTCCAACGACGCTGAGCTCCCCGGCAACGCCATCGGAGCCTGCGCACCGGCCACAGCACTACTGGCCACAGCTGATGGACCAGGCCCCGGGGGGTGTGGGTTGACGGCCATAACCTGACAGACTTTTCCTCCTTGACGAGGAAAAGGGTCAACGTGGGGCCGAAGAACCAGGCTTTCTCAGGCTTTGGGGGCTGGTGGCCACGATGGGCCACCCTTGGCCCCCATCCTGACCAGGGGACGGGCGGGGCCCACGACGGTCACACCCCAAGTCACCACAGTACACGACCCACACAGCACTTTGAAAAGTAGTTGTTTGCGGTGAGGGAGGGGGAAAACGGCAAAAACACAGATTCTGGGTACAAGAACTGAGATCAGATTTCACCTTCTAACATGTCCACTCAACCCTCAGACATTTGCAAGCGGGAAACAGGTGCAGTGAAACACAGCGAGACTAACCACTGTTTTAATACTAAGGATTTTAAAAATCCCAAGCCATCTAACCACACGCCAACCTAACAGATTCATCCTGGAAGGGGCTTGAAGGTCAGGACCCCGGGGCTGCTGTCTGTCCCGAAGTTAGGAAGGCCCTGGCTGATGGTTCCCTGGGGAAGGGAGGAAGGCGTAGAAACAGCACCACTTCACACGCGTGTGTGCACACACACGCACAGAGCAGGGGCAGGGGAGGTCCCTGTGCTCGCAGGGCGGGGCAGGGAAGGGCGGAGCTGGGAGGCCAGGTGGGGCCACCTACCTCCACCCCACCTTCCTTACCCTGCTGCAGACTCTGGCTTCCTCTGCCGCCGATCCCGGCAAGGAGGCCACGGGAAGGGGCCACACGGGCGGGGACCCCTCGTGGGGCCCTGCATCTGTCCGCGGCGGGCGTCTACACCTGGAACCCTTGGGGCCACAGACCCGGGTCCTGCAGGGCAATCTGTCCCAGAGCCCAGAGGCGGTCAGCTCTGACCACCGGGCCCCGGGGCAACCGTGACCACCAGCAGGGGACACGCGTGAGGGCCCGGCAACCCCCAATATGGGTCCACCTCCGGATCGGCCCTGGGGAGGAACCATCAAGCTTTCATTGAACTGGGAAACCGAACCTGAGTCAAGAACATTCCAAGCTCACGGGCAGCGGACACATTTTATTGTCGCTCACGGAGATAAGCAGAGCCCAGGGCCGCGCCGACATCTCCAGAACCCGTAGGGATTGCCGCCCAAGGCCCGTTTCTCGTCCAGGTGTGAGGAGCAGTGGGGAGCCTGGGCACCCAGGTCTCTGCGGGTCCACGCAGGCCTGTGCCGCCACCCGCACCCCCAGCCCCACGGCACGGAAGGCGGCGGGGCCTCACGTCCACGCAGAGGGAGCGGCTAAATGGGGGAAATCACAGACGCGGCAGCAAAACACAGCAGAAAGTGAGGCGCTGCCCGGGAAAGCGAAGGGGAGACAAGCAGGACTCAGTTTACCGAATGTCTCAGGAGGGTGGGTTTCTCACCCTGAAATCACAGGACCACTTCCGTCAGTGTTTTATGTCGTACGCGGGGATGACGCGTCCTCACGTTAATGATGCCTGATTCACCAGCGTCAACGTCAAAGCCCCTTCCATCCACACTTCCTCCCGCGGCTGCGCACTCCCCGCTCTACTCCGTGGAGACCATCTGTGCGCAAAGACTCACGATCTAAACATCCGGCTACCTCAGCCATGTTGTCTTCCTCTGCTGGCACCAGCCAAGAAGCAACTGCGGGCGATTCAGCTAGATCACGGGCACACTTTCCGGATACCCTGTCTCCCGCACCCATCCCAGGGGCCCCTGCCTGTAACAAGACCCCAGACCCCAGGGATCCCCATCTGGGCTGCAGCCCATGGCCCCTCGATCCGGCCACCCACCAACTGTGCTCGAGACGGGAGAGGGCTCGTCCAGGAGGCCTCTGAGAAGCAGGTCTGGAGCCCCCAACTCCTCTCCCACCAGCAGCGGAGGAAACAGGGTTGGGAGAGAGTGTGCAGCCAAGTCTGGGTGTGGGCGGGGGGATGTCTAGATGGGCCAGAGACACGAGTGGGCCTGTGTCAGGGGGACCGTGGAGGACAGGAGGACCCACGGACGGCGGGTGTCCCAAGGAGCCAGGAGACAGAAGCAGGTCGCCCAGCTGCACTGCTTCTGAGCCCTCAGGGAACAGCGTTAAAGGGGCTCCCAGAGCCGCCAGGTGGGGCCCCAGACCCATGCTCCTTGTTGCGCGAGGGAGGCCACAGAGTGAGCTGAGCCCACCCTCCTGTGTCCCCGTAGAACCCAGCCCAAAGCAGGCCTGAGGGGCAGAAAGACTCTGACTTGGAGCAGAGCCCCGCTCTTGGGTGATGGCCCGGGACTCCACCTGTTTAGTTACGGCACTGAGCCTGGCTTTGTGGCTAGGGATGAGGGGACGGAGCCAGGCCTGAAGGGGCCGTGCGGGGAGACGAGATCGGGTCTCATTGTGCATGATGGACTCCACGCCCCCCTGTGGTGTCTCCGCAGAAGGTCACAGCACTCGTGAACCAGGATGCGCATCGCTGACTTCTCCGCATGAGAATAGACACACACATCGTGGAAAGTGTGCTAGGAGACCTGACCATGGGCTGGGGTTCGCCCAGCTAATCTCAAATGCAAGTTGCCTTACTGAGGTTTAGTCCCTCATTATCTCAACACAACATGAAAATAGTTGAAAATAGTTGATCTTGGTGAAAATCAGCTTCCGGAATCTGGCTTTGGAGGTAATGGATTTGCACGGCTCCCTGTGACTGGCTCTCTGAGGCCGGGGAGATCATTTCAAAGCCCCGCATCACAGCCCCAGACCCCAGACTCTGCGGGACACGTGCTCCCACAGAGTCTGCATCTTCTTACAGTCCTGGGTTTGCAGCCGCCCGCGGCACCGTGGGCTCTCACGCGTGATCGGGTCGGCGTCTGGGCCGTTCCGCCGTGGAAATGCTTGCTCTGCGGCTCCCCGTGGGCCACTTGTGGGGTCTGCTCTGACAGGTTCACGGACTCCCTGCTCTGGGCCTCTCCACAGACTCTGCTGATGTCATAAAACACTCCCCGGGGTGTCAGAGAGAACGAGTTTATGGAGGGAAATGTACCAGCCGTGATAGCAGAGGCACCGAGGCCCCCGGGGCCCGTGCTGTGTTTCGCCCACGGAGGGAGGCGGGTGCTCAGAACTTTCAGGGCTATCTGCCTATTAATCATGCCCAGCTCCGCGATTTGAAGTGCTCTCAAATGGCCTGCGGTTCAATTTTCCTCCCGGCCGGGCTGAGAGGCGAGTGGGCCTGGAAGGACGGACGGAGGAAAGGTGTCTGCTGAAAATCGCCACGTCCGTCAACTGACAAGCAGTTATTTGCTGCTTGTGTGGAGTCCGCACAGCCCCGGTGCTGGTGGGGGAGGTGCGGGGCAAGTGAGGTGAGCAATTATACGTCCGTCAGGGTGACCCGAGGAGACCACGGAGGAGGACGCTCAGAAGGCGAGCAGTGGCGGTCATTTAACCCCTTGGAAAAAACCGAGGTTTCCGGCCCCAGATCAAAGGCAGCTCTCAGGGCACAGGATGGGGCAGCAGGCCTGATGGGAGCTCTGCCCTCCATTCAGCAGACGCTACACATATTAGATAAAGCACTAGGCTTTTTTAAAAACATTCAAAAAACTGTTTTTTTTTTAAATTATTAAAATGAACTGCAGACAAGTCAAAAGTGCCTAACTTACCAAAAAGATACGAGAAACGTATCAGTATCTCCTCATCCACAGGAAAATTCTACATTCAGTCTAGTTCCAACTCAGTAAGTATTGACCTCTCTTGCTCTGAGGCTCTCCATCTACAAAATAAACTAACCTCCTGAGTGTCTTCCGGTCTGGGGACTCGAAGAGTCATCTCCATGCTGGGAACTCTTGGGGGTATATCTCAAGGAAAGAGAAGTGACCTTGGGGGGTATGGTGAGAACAGTCTTTGGGGTTCCTGCTGGGGAGAAGGGCCAACTCTGGAAAATGGATTAACCCCAAGGAAGAGGGCAGGAGAGATAACTAACCGTTCCTATTCTGAAAGCCAGTAATGACCTCTGATGGACGGTTCCTTTGGAACCCACCCTCTCCGATGGATTTGGAATTAAGTGGGAAGTCTCCTCGTAGGCCGAGGGACCCCTAACTCACCCACGTCTCCCCCAGGGTGCCACGAGGTTGAAGGGGACCGCGAGACATCCTGAGTCCTCTGGCTGTTGCAGACCATTGGCCGTACAGGAAGAAGATCCACATCAGCGACCCACCACGCACGCCGGCCTCAGCCTGCAGCATGCTGGACGTCAGCCGTGAGACGGGTTCAACAGAGGCCCACGGCGGGGGAGCTGTGCCTACACACAGGTGTCTCCTCCCAGTGGCCTCCACTCCCGAGAAGCCTGTACATGTGGGTGTCAGGGGACAGACACCCCTGCAGTCACGGCGGCTCCGTTGTCTGTGTTTGCCACAGTCTGGCGACCTCATTTCCACGTTTGAATGTTCTCACCTCCGAGAGCAGATAGTTCATCACGTGCAAACAGCAGTGTCTTATGGAGAATAATGGGTGTTATTTCCACCTTGCACACGGTCTCCCCACAAGCACCATCTTGAAATTATCTCCCCGACGCTCGAGCAAAGCAGGGGCGATCATCTCGTTTCACATGTAAGGAAAACAGACCAGGTGAGCCGTTTCCCAGGTTACAAAATAACCCATCAGGGAGGGCAGACTTGGTTTGTCAATTTAAATGGCATCGGGCTCCCCTAAATATCTGACAATAAAATAAGGAGAAAAGTGCAATTGATGGTTAAGATAATAAAAATGACAGACTCTGGCCTGTCGTACATGG